GAGAGAGAGAGAGAGAGAGAGAGAGAGAGAGAGAGAGAGAGAGAGAGAGAGAGACCGAAGGGTCCCCTTCACGTCAATTTGAGGGCCCCTGCAGGTACCTCGAATGGCTCCTACAATATATGCGGAGTCATTGAGAACCACTGCTTCAACGAGAAGGATGGCCACGACATATGTGGAAGAGGTGGGAGCAGACCACCAATATATGCTCTGGGTTCGAGTTCAGAGCTTTAGCTTGGCAGCTATGGGTTATCAATTCAGCTAGACCCTGTTCGTGTCTCCACGTGATTCTCAGGGCCTCCCTCCACCATGCACCAAATGTATATACTATATAACATTAGTAGAATTATCCTTCTGGTAAAACATGGAACCATACACTGCCATATGCTATGTCTTTTGTGCGTGTGGTGAGTAGTGGAGCAGGCCCCACTGTACTTATTCATAAGAAAACAAAAACAAAAAAACGAGAGAGCTACAGGCATCTTCATCCTAAGTTCCTAATCCATAACTGCCGACATGCAGACCTGGATGCCAATCTTCAGCATACATTGGTGGTCGGCTGGCCGTGCAAAACACATCGTGTGACTTCTGCGAAGCTTTGCGGGGCAGGTCGCTTTTGGGCAACTACCCCCTTCGAACAAATTTTTCCCACCACTGTGCGGGATTTGCAGAAGGGAGGGGGAAGGCCAGTGTCCACACCCCGCCTAAAAAAAAAGTTGGAATGAGCCCTAATTTCATGATTCGCCATTCTGAAACTTTGGTGGGAAAGGCCTGCGGAGATCGAAATTCGGCAGTCCTTGCCCAAAAAAGAATTTCGGGCTGGGGGCGCGGCCGGTTTCTGAACTCGCGCGGTGAGTTCAACATTTTTGTCGAGTTGGGCCCCCTAAGAAATCACAAAAACCCTACCTTTTTTTTTTTGGACCTAATTTTTCCAGTGTGTGCTCTTCGGTGCGCTGTGTGGTGCGGTGCGGTGCGCAAATCCGCACACCGAGGTGCGCCGCAACTATGGTATGTTCTATGTTCTCTATAGATCGTTTGCTGGGAAGGGCTTTCAGGAAGTAAATATGTTCTTTTTATAGATTGTTTCCTTATGCTTTTCCCTCTCCTTTGCCATGGGCTTTCAGCAACTACCTCTGTTGTCTATGTTCTCCTTTCGCCATTCATTGCTTTGAGCTTTCACCTCAATATTACTGTGAATGACAATTCTGTCTGTTGTGGCAGGAACTGGAGGCTGAACGGGATGCAGCGTTACAGAGAATTGCAGTGCTAGAAGCTGAAGCAGCATCGCAGGCCAAGTCGTTGGAAGATGCTATGGTATGTTCAGCTGTGGAAACCTCTATTTTCACAATATGTTCAGTCGTGGAAAATCTCTATCTTCACAGTTTTAATTTGAAATATTGATAGGAGGATGTGCAACTTTGTTTCTCCGACTTGGTGCAACTTTGTTTCTCTGAATTGGGGATAAGTCGCCCATTTATGTCATTCTGATCAGCTGTGTCTTAAAGGACTTTTTCGATCCCAGCACATCTAATGAGGGCTATTGTGTATCTGCTATCTAGTATGTACAAGTTTGTTCAGGTCTTTTTCCTTGTTTTCTCTTTTTTTTTTGTATTGTTTTGTCTTGCTGTGTTCCTTATCATTCTGATGATACCTTATAGCCCTACATGTTTTTTTCCAATGAAACCTCGAAGAGTCGAAGCTTTGGAGGCTAAAAGTTCTACATTGATCAGCACTAATTGCCAGTAATTGTTGCAGATCATGGGATTTATATGCGAAACAGTATCATTTCGACAAGCAAACCCAATTGTATGTTGTACAGTTGTAGTGAGTTCTATGTAGTACGTATTTATTTGATTTCAACTGTCTGAACGTTGTCAGAGCTCTCATGCTGGTCACTCGCATGAGGGTGTTTCAATTTCAGATCTGCTTATCTGGGTGGAAAAGGGGTTGTTATGGTGACAGTTTAAATCACAAACTCCTAATGAGTCTGTGAAAGTCCAACGAAACAGTCTGGCACAGTCGTCCTTGTTTTTCTTTTTTGTGGAGTTGTACACAAACATGGCAATACACACACGCACTCAAAATATAATATACAGCTTGACAGAAGATTGTAAGGTAAGGCTGTTTCAATTTTGGATCTTTTCATCTGGGTGGAAAAGGGGTTGTTATGGTGACTGTCTAAAACACACGTGCCAGACTAGGTTCACAAATTTAGTGCAGTTCTTTTAAGGGGTTTAAATTGACAGTCTGCTAGGGTCCCAGGGTTGATGTGGTGAGTAAAGCCGACCACTTTTCTCAGGGGCAATGGGCAATGTGGCGAGTTCGCATTCTACCAGCCAAATGCATCCTCGACAGGCTGTCAGGGTTCGACCTCCTGATGGGTCGGTGGAAGTCCTACGAAACAGTCTGGCACGGTCATGCTTTTTTTTTTTTTTTCCTTTGTTTTTGTGGTGAAGTTTGCCCAGTCTATTGGTGGGGAGCTGCACCTGCTGGAAACTGGATCCAGCGTCTTTCCCCGTTATGGCCGGGAGATCATGCAGTCATGCTTTTGTTTTTTGCGGAGTCTTTTTTTGTGAACATAAGAACACACTACCAAAGCCTGTCTTGGACACTTGCGAACCTTCTTGTTTAGAAAGAGAGACCTCTGAACAAGAAGGTTGAGGTTTTGGCAAAGGGACTTGGAAAGAGAGGTCAGTGAGGCGCATCCTGAATGTATCAGCTACTTCCATGTTACGACCTCGTGGAGTATATGTTGGGTCTAAAGCTTCCGTATTATCCAGTTTTGAAACTGGGAAATTCCGCTAGCCCCGCCGTGATCGATCCCACGCCGGTGTTGGCTCGAAGTAGGATAGCCAAGCAGTCCTCTCCTGATGAGACCAGGAACTGGCCTTGGTCCAAATGCATCAGGGACCTGCCACTCGACTGCAGAACTTATTGCAGATTTGTTGACCGTCTTGGAGGCTCGTATGGAGCATGGAACAGGCAGTAGGGAGGCGGTGGGGATGCAGAGTTGTGCTTCTACATTGAAATTTGAAACTGTGTTGAATTTAGTCAGGGCTTGTCATGTTCTGTGTGCATATCGTTTTATGATTCTCAGAGCATCGGAGAGCACTTATGATTTCCTTCTGAAATCAATTGCAGTGATTTCAAGAAATTCGTTCGCAAATCAATTGCGCGATGAGGGGCCCCATATCTCTGACAACTACAATCGACCTTTAATCAGATCTATATAAGAGAATGCAGGGTCCGAATCAGTCAATGCATTGTCCCAAGGACATAGAGCACTCTGTACTATAACTGATCAAGGCGTAAACCGTAAGTGCTGCAAAATGCACAACATGCGGAAATTGACAATGTCTACAAGCGAGTATTGGTTTGGAGCTACCCCCTCTCCTCACTTTTCACTCAATTCCATCCCACCTCCTTGACTGAGGACTGTATTGTATGTGCAAGAGGGTGACTAACAGGAATCCACACCCACCGCAATGCACAGACTAATCAATGGGTGGCCAACCTGATCAGGAATCACTTCCCAAAGGAGCAATTCATAGTTGCAAACAGGATGAGTTCCGTTGAAGATCCACAATGAATTATTTAGAGTCTCGACGGGATGACTGGCCTACAGTTTATTTAACGCCGCTTGTCACACAACTTCCCAGGACACACAGTCTTGTTGTCTCTATCGCACTGCTTAAACTTGGTGTGATCTGCACAATCATGCGTGAACTAATTCCACATCATGTGCTTCGTATACCAAGGGCACTTCCCTCTTCTCACTTTTCACTCAATTCCATCCCACCTCCTTGACTGAGGACTGTATTGTATGTGCAAGAGGGTGAGTAACAGGAATCCACACCCTCCGCAATCCACAGACTAATCAATGGGTGGCCAACCTGATCAGGAATCACTCCCCAAAGGAGCAATTCATAGTCGCAAACAGGATGAGTTCCCTTGAAGATCCACAAGGAATTATTTAGAGTCTCAACGGGATGACTTGCCTACAGTTTATTTAACGCCGGTTGTCACACGACTTCCCAGGCCACACTGTCGTGTTGTCTCTATCGCGCTGCTTAAACTTGGTGTGATCTGCACAATCATGCGTGAACTAATTCCACATCATGTGCTTCGTATACCAAGGGCACTTCCCTTGCACCACCCTTCTCCCACCAGATGCAGCAAGGTTGACCCTCAAGGTAGAGCATGCTCGCAACTCACGATGAGATGACACTAATGCTCTTCCTCACGGTGAGAAGAATAAACGAGTGTAGATACGGTTGAGCAGACTTACTTGATGCTGCCCCAACCACAGATTATCTCACCAGCTGTTATGATGCCGCGTTTGGTGACCGGTCAGTGCTCAAGTATCACCGACATACAATGCGAGCACGACCTTAAACCACCCCTCCACCCTCCTTTAGAAAGTCAGAGGACCAGTAGGCCGTTTTTTCGAATAGGCACGTGCCCTACCGGTAGGTCAGTGTGCGGCCTGCCCTTGGTCCCAGAGTAGCAAAATATGGAAATATGCTGAATCAGCACGGCGATTATTTGACGGCCAAAATTAATTTAAAAAATTTTCTGATATTTTTCCTGGCAAGATCAGGACCCAATCTACGGATTCTCAAATTTTTAGAATTTTCTATAAAGTTTTCTGAGCACGAAGAGTCACCAAAGTTGCCGTACTTCTTTTGTTAGCGGACACATGGTGGACTGGCAAAAATGGAAATGCGCCGAATGGGTTAGGGCAATTATTTCACGGGCAAAATGATTTCTAAAATTTTTTTCTGATATTTTTCCTGGAAAGATCACGACCTAATCTGCAGACCCTCAAAATTTTAGAATTTTCTGTGAATTCTTCTAAGCACAAAAAATCACCAAAGTCGCTGCTCTGAGGCCCGCCGGTTGGCTACGGTCGCCGCCCCCCCCGAAAAACCTGCCCAAACTCACAGGGAGGGCACTTTCCAGGAGGTGGGTAGAGGGGTGGTTTAAGTAATAGCAAGTACCCGTACACTCTCTTTACGTTGCCATGTATTTTGTTAAACCACCCATGCTTTCTCTAGCCATACCAGCCGGCGAGGACGTCGGCAACACTGCACATGGTTGACCATGGGCAACATAAGACGTGACTTGCCAGCAGGAATGGCATGTGTTAGAGAACCCGCTTTGATCCAATGAGAGCACAAAATTGTCAAGATGCAAAGCTCACAGAAGACAATTCTCCAGGAATCTGAGTTGAAAGCTGAATTACAAAGCCAAGAGCACACCAAAATAATTTTAAATAAGTCACACTGACCTCTTCACAATGAACCTGCTCTTCACGTCCCTAACGATCAATACAACAACAATGCAATAGCCCTACTATGATGTCACTGCTAAGAATACTCTCCCACCCTACTTATGCACACGTTTACTCTCCCACTCTCTTTGTCTCCAAAAGCCTCTCGCCAAATGCTTATGAATACGCTACTCATGCCTGTGATCTTCGGCCAACACCCGTTAAGTACCGTCAGTTCCCACTGTCTTCCTCCTCTCCGATCTCCTTGACACCGCTGCCCAACTATGGCAGGCGCTGGCTTCAGCAGGTAACAGTGGCATGGATCTTGAAGGGTTAACTTCTTGACGATGAGCAATCGCGCGCGCGTGCGCTCGCATGCCCTCCTATCTTTCGTGCCTAGTGTGGAAGAGTTGTGAGAGTTGCAAGGCGGTGGGAGGCTTGCAATTTTTAGTGGACAACAATCTCGGCTTCTTATCGCGGACACATCGATCCAATCTAGAAAACAAACAAGCAAACCGCCCGACACACCTTTGAGACTCGAGATATAATAGATAGGACGGAAAAGGTAAATCCATCAGGTAAGAGGATTATGCGGCATCCGGTTGAGCAATGAAGAGTTTCAATCACTAGCGCTCAACAGCACAATTCCAAGTATCCCGTATCTTCACTCAGGTATGTCTCTCTTCCAGAACTCATCTCTCTATCTTGATCTTCTCTCTGTTTACCACCTCACTGTGACTTCGCTCCCTACTTACATGCACTCACACATCTACAACTCAAGGACCTACTCTGAATACACCCACTGATAAGCCTACTAACTACCTGAAGCCTTCTACTACAAACTGCACTGGCGCAGCTATGGCTGCCTTCTCCCTGCCAGCGCTAACACTTCCTCTCTTTCTCCCCCTTAGCGCAGCACTCTGGCTTCTGCGCTCTGCCCTTCACTACAGCGCACAAGTGCACCAGCACTTCCACACTTCTTGCAAATGAGCTATCTGCCCGAATGGTTTTGTAGCCTTGGAATGCACTTCAACTCGTGCCA